AGCAACAGGTTGGGTGATGCTAACATTTATTGGTTGTAGTCAGGGCTGGCATTGGTTCAAGTTAGGTCAGGTTAGTTTCCTTAAAAATTTGTTCCATTAGGCCAGAAGAACTCCAGCAATTATGTCTATCCTCTTAAGAGTAAAAACCAGGCTGGTGGTAGTACATACAGGGAAGCATAGCAGGACCATGCTCCAGGCTGGCCCCAGGCAAAAATATGAGACTCTATCTGAAAAACAACCTAAAGCAAAAAGGGCTGAAGGTGTGCTCAAGTAGTGGAACACCTGCTTGGCCAGTGCAAAGCCCAGAGTTTAAATCCCCATACTGAAAAAAAAAAGTGAAAACCATCAGCAGTTTACCTCTGCCACTGCAATTCACATCACCAACTGTGACATCTACCTTTCCAAGACCTAAAAGAGCTCAACTTTCATTCTCTATCCCTGGCCAAACAAAAACAAAGGGTTTAATTCTTGGCAAAAATGAAAATGTAAAATTTTAGCCTTTCTTTCTTCTTTTTTTTTTCCTGCAGTACTAGGGCTTGAACTCAGGGCCTACACTTTGAGCCACTCAACCAGCCCTTTTTTGTGAAGGGTTTTTCAAGATAGGGTCTCAGGGAACTATTTGCCTGGGCTGGCTTCGAACCACAATCCTCCTGATCTCTGCCTCCTGAGTAAGTGAGGATTATAGGCATCCGGCTTAACCTCTCATTTTTAAAGAAAAAGAGACCAGTGGTCAGAGCTGCATCTTTACCCAGATGTTTAAAACGTGAAAAAACTTCTAAGAATGGATGAAATGTGGGAGAAAAATGTATTTACCAAAGGTCAACCAAAAATGTGTCCAAGACAAAGGCCGGCCACAAACAGGACGAAGAAACACCTTTTCTGAACAGCTATCCAAACTATTCTGATATTTCCATCTGGCTACAAAGCTTCCTCCTCTCTTTATAATACTCTGTTCTCTTCTACCACCTAGTCTTTGGGTGCCCTTCCCTTGTTGGCCCTTGAATCCAACTGGTCCCCAGGTCCTATCCTGTTGTCCCAGTGTCAGTCTCTATAATTAGCTCTCTCCAGGCTGTGTTCATAGGTACAGTCAGGCCTCATCACTGCTCTGGGCTCTTCAAGCAGACTTATGGTTCCTGTTCACATTCCTAACTATGTCCTCACCAATCCATCCTACACACTCTGTTTTTTTGGCAGTACTGGAGTTTGAACTCAGGGTTTTGTACTTGCTAGTCAGGTGCTCTACTGTTCGAATCACGCCACCAGCCCCATCCTACACACTCTTGCCTCACAATGCACTCCTTGTAGTTCAAACACTTAATGGTATCCTGTTACCAAACACCTTAGGCGAGACAACAGGCCAGAGAGTCAAGAGCGTCTGGGCTGGATGTTTACAGCCTTGGGCAAGTATCTAAAACTTCTCTGAGCACTCATTTCTTCACCTGTAAAGTTGAAATGCTCTAGTACCAATTAATAAAAATTGAGGCTGAGGGGCTTATGCAGGGTCCGACATACAACACTTCAATAATTTAGCCATTTTACAGCAATACCTTGACTATCTAACCTTTCCTTTTACCTCTGCCTCCTCTACCAGCTTTAGCCAAGTGGGCTACTTGCTTCTTTCCCAATGTTCCCACACTGTTCACTATCCAAACTCTTGCTGGCCTAGAATGGACATCCTCCTATCACTGCCTGTCCACTAGGACCCTGAATAAAATGGAAGGCTAAATTCAAGCGTCAACTCCATTCAATTTAGTTTAATCCAATCACCTGCTAGTACTAACACCCTGGACATCCTCACAGAAGACACCATAGCTGACTTCCTGTTGTTCACGCAGGCCCTCCCTATAAAAGCACAGCAGCCACTTAGGTGAGGTGAGATTTAACCCCGCTTCTGGGAGGGTCCCAGGTTATCTGATTTCCACTGTATGAGTTACTGCTTCAAGGCCTAAGTCAAACACCTCCAGGCCAAGGACTGTCTGTGGAAGGTCGTGGGAAGAGAAGTCCTCTCACAAGAAGTTCCAGGAGAGTTCACATGGTTGCTGGCAGTCATCTTGCAAAACTAGTCCAAGGACATAATGAGTATCTCAGAGCGTTCAGGGAAATGCAGCAAAAGTCCTGCCTTTGAGAACGTTACAGAGCAGGTGTGAGGTTAAGCTATCTGAATTGGCTTTTTGTTTTGTTTCTTGCACCAGAAGTATCCTAACCAACTCAGCAGTGCTAGGCACTGCCACATCTTAGATGGACAGTGTTCCCAGATACAGGGATGCAAGTAGCCAAGAAATCCATTTCTGACTCCCTTTTGGTGCAAGGTGCACATTGTGTTCGAAAGACTTGACATGGAAACTATATTAGGAAGCCTCTGGAACCAAGAACTGTGTCATTCAACTTTGTATCCAACCTCGTCACTACTCATAACTGACAAGCCAATAAATTTAAAAAAAAAAAAAAAAAAGAATGAATCAAGTATGAGCTGAAAAGGGGAGATAGATTTTAGGCAGATCTGAGATATGGCAAACAGTTAATTCTACATGGTTTTAGATGGAGGTTTAAGCACAGGTTAGATTTTTAAGTTACCGAGTAACACAATTACATAAAAGGCACATAGCTTACTGGACAAATAATCCTAACCAAACAAGAACAGGTGATGGGGTGGCTATGTTGTAGGGGACAATGCTATGTGAATTTGGAAAAGTCACTTGACAGCTCTAGGTCTTAGTTCTCAATTCCTTAAAAAAAAAAAAAAAAAGGTGGATGACAAAACTTCACACAGGGATGTTACATAGAATATTTGTGGAAAAAACAATAAACAAGTAGATTATCTCAGCAATGTAGATGAAACATGGACTGAAGGGTGTAGCTCAGTGGTGGAGCACTTGCCTGGCATGTGTGAAGCCCTGGGTTCAAGTCCCAGACCTGGAGGGGGGAGAAAATGAGTAGTAAATGGAATGCATGCAAAGAGATTTACAAGTAACTAATGGGAGTGTTATCCTACTGGTAATAGACCTAAAATAATAAGGGGAGGGAAGTGTGTGGGTGGGAAAGAAAGTGGTAAAACTATCATATCAACTCAAGCTCTCATCTTTCTTAGTTACCTTAAGGGAAGATAAAAACAGTTCTGCCTTGATTTCTATCATTGAAGTTGGAAATAGGACACCAAGGCTGAGTACTCACCTTTAAAGGCACAACAAGCAATAATTACAGTGGGAGCAAAAGAGGAAGTAGTGAGGGATGGGGGGAAAAGACTGCAAAACATCAACCATCTAAAAATTAAGGTCTCTGACCAAAGGAAGCACTGTTGATTCTAGGGGAGGAAAAGGCGACATTTACCAAACCCCATTCGGAGCTCTTTCATTTATTACCTCTTGTCATCCACATGAAAAATCTACAATAGGAAAAGTTGAGTAAAGGGGGCAAGGACGACAGTGTCTAAATTCAGGAGATACTTTTCTTGAAGAATGAACAATTTTAAAATGCTTTCTACTTTCACTTTTCTGCAAAGTTCTAGCCTTTGTTCCATACAACCATCCCATAAACTGAAGACAGAAGAGAAAATGCAAAATGAGATACAGTACACAAAAAATTCCTGGCAAGAAGTTATAATCTGGGGTGAGAATCTAAAAAGGAAAACGAGCAACACTTCTCTTCCAAGAGCAGAGCTTTCCTGGAGAAGCCAGCCAGTGTCTGAGCTGACTTAGAAAAACGATCCACTTGTCCCCAGCCGCAGGTGGAAAGCTAAAGTGTTTGCACACAGCCACCTAATGCAAAACCTCTTTCTGTATCTGTAGATTCTGCACCGAATGTTGGCTGAGACAAGCAAGCAAAACAAGTGTACACCAAAAGGTTCTATTTGCCAAGTGGTTACAGGAACGAAATTACAAAACCTACCAAGCAGCATTAGCTCTTCCGTACAAGCCTGTAAAACACTTCCTGCCACGGGTCCCGCTATGAAGAAGAAGAAAACTGCTTAGTCCCCACAATTCCTCACCAGCACCTATCTCTAGGTTATCCAGTCCAGCTAATAAGTCATGCATTACCTTTTTCTTCCAAACAGGACTTTCCCACCCCTGCCAAGTGCATTCTTCAAATCAAGGAGCCAGGAGATGAGCCGTAACTCACCATCTTGGGGAGGGGAAGCTACCAAGTTCAAAAGCATGCAACGGTCGCACGACAGTTCAAGAAGCACAACTCTTGCTTGCATGCATTACTACCTCCACTCGGAGGCTGGAAGAAGTCTCATGGGCGTCCGAACAGTGAACGGGCACTTTTCCTAAGAACTCGCCACCCGACACACCCCGCGGCTCCCCAGGCCCAGGGCAGCTCCCGCGCCGCGAGCCTCCCTCCCGGCCGTCTGCTCCCGCCTCTCCCGCGCGCGCCCCGACTCCCTAAAAGGCCGCCCAGGTCGCCGGCGAGTCCCCTCCCGCCTCATCTCCCTTGCTGCTATCTGGTTTTAGTAAAAACTGAAGTGGTCCGGAGCTGGCTGGCTTCCCTCCGAGGGGCGGAGGCGGGGGAAGAGAAAAAGGAAAGGTCGAAGGGTCCGCGCACCGCCACGGTCTCGGCGAGCTCGCCCCGGAGGCCGGGGCCGGGTCGGGTGCGGGTGTCAGCCTCGGCCCGCGCCCCCGCGTCCGGATTCGCCCAGGCGACTTCCCCCAAAGCCGGCTCTGACAAGGGCGCACAAACCCATGCATCCCGCCCCCAAGTCTCCGCACCGTGGCGGGCCCGCCGCGGCGCCTGTCAGCAGCACAAGCGGCCGCCCGCGGCTCCCACCCGCCGGACAGGTGCGACAGCATCGCGGGGGGCCCACACCCGTCTCCCCCGGCCCCCGCCCGAGGCACTGGGAAGACTCCCCCTGGGTCCTCCGCCGGGCGGGCCGCGCACGCAGCTGTCGTCCGCACCCGGCCGGGGACCTCCCGGAGGCTTCCAGCCCGCGCCGGCCGCGCGTTCGCCCGCGGGTGTCATGGCCGAGCAGGGGAGCGCGCGAAGTTTGCAGGGTGACGCCTCACCTCCGGGCCTGAGGGGCAGCAGCAGCGTGGAGCAGCAGCGAGGCAGCGGCGGCGGCGCCCGCGTCCACGGGAGGATGGAGCAGGGAGGCACCGGCAGCCGGGATCCGCCGCGATGGGAAGAGGAAGGCGCCGGGTATCTACAATCAGAGCGTGGGCTGACCGTGACGTCACAATGGCGCGGCCAGCCAATCCCCATCCGAGGGACGAGTCAAGCGCTGTGATGTCATGCGGCCGCGGAGCCAATCCCCGCGCGATAGAACTTTCGTGATTGTAAATTCCAGAATCCGATGCAGTGGGGAGCCGAGCCCAGGGTTGGTCCCCTATAGTTCACGTGTCTCCGGCAAGTTTTGCCCCTCTGTCTTCCTAATAAGCCTGCGTGGAACGCAGAGCCTGCGCAATGGCAGCGGCCAACTTCCCGAGGCCTGAACTTGACCCTCAGCGCGCCTTCGGGCTTCTCTACGATTCCTAAAGGGCTCCAGTTCCTGATCTTAGCAGAAAGGGTTACATGCCTTCGAGATCACCAGAAGCTAGGGCGGCCAAGCAAAATCACTCAAAACTCTTCTTATGACCTTAATTTCTTTGCGATAGGCTCATTATGTATTCTTAGAAATTCTGGGTGTTCTTTAGAGGTGACTACCAGCTCCATTATCTACTCTAGAAAATTATTCCAAAGGCCTGTAAAAGAAGGAATGGTGGTGGACCAAGTAATGCCTTGAGGCTGGGCAAATTTAAGCACTTAAAAGACACTCAGGCACAAATAGTTGCTTTTCATTGGTATTTGCGTAATTAATTGAAGGCTTTCATCGTCCTGGTATCCTGTTTTCCCCTTGTCAAGTCTGAGAAATTTAGGTCGCCTTCTTGTGTCCTTTTTGCTGTACTCCACGTCCATAGACACCGCAGAGCCAACCACTTTGTGTAGCAAGCTTATTCTTTTACATATTTATAGTGTAATATTTCCAGGCTATGTTCCAGGAATACAGGTACACAAACTATACACGAATTAGGTTATTTAAACATACGCCAATTGAGATTGTTAACAGTCAACTGCCATTCAATTCCACAAACACTGACTTCACTTAGATACTGTGCATGATGGTAGAATTTTTTTTTTTAACTTAAAGGGCTTCCCTCTCTGTAAAATGATACAGTCAGGAAACAAGTACAATGCAGAACGGTGAATGCTACATTAGAAACATACAGGGAACTTTCCTTCAAGGAGCACATGATAGACCTGTTTGGTGGCATAGAGTATGTTGGCAGGAATCCTTTATTCTTCAATTCTCTACCAGCAGCCCAACGCCAGAGGTGGTTCAGCTTTCTGTCACCCTAAGTTCTGTCTTTCTGAGTTTTAAAATTTTCAAGATCAGTGGTAGAGTACGTCCCCACCATGCACAAGGCCCTGGGTTAGAAACCCAACACCAGAAGAAAACAAAATCTCAAAAAGCATAAATAAATAAAGAAATAATTCAAATTTAACTTGAGAATTCAAAAATCTCAAGTTTTATGCTGCACAATTTTTCATTGCTGTCTTCACTTACCGATATAAATGTTTTAAGCCCATACCACCAAAATATTTATTTGAATTATAAGCTAATATAACTGTTGAGGTATACATTAAATATTAAATTATTTTTTTCTTTAAATTAAAAATAAAGTTCTAATATTTCCTTCCCATCCTTTGAAGGATGCTTTTCCACAGGCATAGATGATCTGTGTTTCTTGGTTTTCATTATAGCATTAACTGAGTAAGTTTTTCCAAATTGAAAAAATAGCTGGGATTCAATGCCAGGCTTATTAAATAGTGGGATTCAAAAAAAGTGTTTTAGGGACCATAAGAGTCAGATTCCTGGCCAACAGCATTCTAGACAGAGCTCAGCCATTCCACCCTTTTAATCTACCTATTATGTGTGACCTGCAATTCTTTATAGCATTCACGTGGTAGTCTTCAAGAAATGATTGTTGAATTATCTTCATTAAATAACTATTTTCTTTTTATTTGTAAATACTGGGGGCATTTTTCCTTTTGCTCTTAGTTTTTATCATAGACCCAAACATACTTCCAAGGGTATTAGAAAGTTGCTCCAGTATTGCTTTTGAGAAAGAAAAATAATTCCCTGGGCAATTTGTTTTATTGTTAAAGATGCTGTAGTTGACTTAAAAGATACAACCAAAAGTTTCATTGGACTGCAATTCTAATTATGAAATTCTCGTTTCATCGGAAGTAGTTGCATGACCAAAGTCTGTATTTGGCTCTGGACATTTTGGAGCTGACTAAAATAAAGACCAAGTATAAGTTATTTTATGCAATCTTTATTGGTTCCTACCTTTTCCCCCTCTCTCTCCTTGTAATCGTTCTTCCTTTCTTATAATTTGTGTTTTCTGTTATCTCGCTGCCTAGAATTCCCATTGGCCTGGCTTATCTTTGCTCGAAGCAGATGAAGATTAAAGACAGTTTAACCTCCTAAGACCTTGGAGCCAGTTCCACACTTGCATTATTACTTGGCTACTCGTCTTCACTGTGTTCAACAGCACGTACAGCAGTTTATCTCAGTCCCTGTCTTTTAGCATTCATCTTGACAAACATGAGCTACTTGAAGGCACTGCCTGTGCCTGGTTGGCTATGTTCTTTTCCCAATGGCTAGAAAAATTTCTGGCAAATAGTAGATGGTCACAAATATCTCCTGAGTGAATGAACAATCTGTTTTATTCCTGCATTTCCAGCCTTTTCCTCTCTCCCTTTACACTCTTCAGTACTCTATCTGGGATTGACTGTGCACTCTTCTCTGTTCACATTTTCTTCTAGGTGATGTCACCTGGCTCCATGCTTTTGGATGCCACCTAGACTCTGGCTTATTCTCAGATGGGTTTCTCAGCTCACACCTTTTCCCTGAATTCCAGGCTCAGATATTTAACTGCCTATTAAGAACTTCTCCTCTGGGATGTCGAAAAGACATCTTGTACTCACCGTGGCCAAAAATGAACTCCTGATTTACCCACATGATCTTCCCTGGATGTGTAAATGACAACTCTATTGATCCAATGGATCAATATTGATCTATTTCTCAGGTCAAACACATTATACCTATATTTACCTCTTCTCTTTTTCTCACCTCCTACACCCAATGCACCGGCAAGACCTTCCCATTCAACCTTCAAAATATGTCAAGAATCTGATCACTTCTCACCATCTCCACTTGCAACCACCTGGTGTAAGTCACTGTCAGTTATCATCCAGAATTTTGCAACAGCCTCCTGTCTTAGTTCGTTTTCTGTTGCTATAACAGGATGCTTACAAATCACCCGAGATTGATAAAGAATAGCGGTTTATTCAGCTCATGGTTCTGGAGGCTGGAAGTTAAGGGATCTGGTGAGACCCTTGTGCTGACCTCGAGCATGGTGGACAAGCAAAAGAGCAAGAAGGCAAGCTTGGAAGAGAAACAAGCAAGAGGGCCTGAGATTGCTTTAAAACAAGCCTCTTGGGGTGAATTCAACTATGACATATATTTTTGTTGTTTTCTTTTTGTTTTTTGGCAGCACTGGGGTTTGAACTCAGAGACTTATGCTTGCTAGGGAGGCACCCTTACAGCCTGAGCCACTCTGTCAGTCACAACTATGTTGTATTGTAAGAACTTCTGTAAATGTCACAATGTACCCCCAGTTCAACAATATGACAATCAAAAAATAAAGTTCACATGAACCGCAAAAATAAGTAAGTAAACAAACAACTCTCTCCTGTGATAAAGGCATTAATCCCTTTTAAAGACCCAATCATCTTCCAGCACCACCACAATGGCAAGCCAGTTAGGGCATGAATTCCAGAGGGGACAAGCCTTAGCATCTCCTAACAAGACCTCTGCTTCTGCCTTTCCTGCCTCAGTCTATTTACAACCCTGCTGCCAGAGAGGTCCCTTTAAAACCAAAGCCAAATCCTATCATATGTATGCTCAGTACCATCTGTCAACTTCTCATCTCATCAGAGAATAAAAGTCCAAATCATTACAATAACTTATACATCCTTCATGTTTCAGCAACTCATCATTTCTGACCTTCTAAAGCTTATCTGTCTTCCATCCAGAATAGCCTCCTTATTCCTTGAATATACCACGTACTGGAGCACTTCAGGGCCCTTGGATCTACTATTCCCCCACGCCCAGAAGGATCCAGCTCAGGAATCTCCAAAGTCCACCTCTGTTTCATTCTGACATTTATATAAATGCCATCTTCTCAGGGAGCAGTGACTATGCTCCCCAAAGTTGTAGCACCTCCCTCTGAGCCTCTCTGCTCTGGAACCTTTTATTCTACTCAGTTTTTCTCCTTAGCAACTCACTGCAGCCGTAACCTTCCTCGACCGGCTATACAAAGCTCCGTGAACTCAGCACTGCCGCAAATCGCGTACCTTTACGATCACTGACCTCGGAAACCTCCATTCGCTGTTTCACCCTGTACTTCATTGCAAATCCCTATTTTAAATGTCCCTTAGACGCTTGCTAACAATGTTTTCCAATCCTACTAGCAGGGATCGACAAGACCCCCTCGTCTAGTGGGTGCCAGGTTCCCCATCGATCATGTATCACTAGGCTCTCCGCGAGCGTTCTTCCGGGTCCCGCATCGCCTCGCTCGCGCGGAGCACCGGTCGTGCGGCCCTCAGGCCCCCGTCCCTCGTATGCGCGCGGGCACAGATACTTCGTCGTACATGCGTCCTCGACGAGCCCGTACTCGCGCGCTTCGCTCGGCCCCGAGGTCTCTTATCCACTTCTGACATGCCACCTATTTGGTTTTTGTTATTTATTATGCTATCCTCCAAGATAGCTTACTCAGGGCACAGACTTTGCTCTGTTCATACCTGTATCCCCAGTGCTTAGAACACTTCCTAGCAAGGAGCTAAATACATATTAGATGGGAAATGAACAAATGAGTGAGTGGAAAACTGAAATGAAAACATGCTTGCAGTAGGTACCATTTGGCCAAAAATTAAGTAAAAGAGAAAGATGATATCAACTACAATAATTTTTAAAGTGTTATCAAATGTATATGGTTTGTCTTTTCCCCTGTGTAATAAAGATGAGAAATCTCTTTAAAGTGCTATAAAGAAAGACTGTAGTG